AAATTGAAAGGAAGGTAGGTAGGCGTGGCACTGGTTGTTGCCCAGGCGAAATCAAATTAGTACCTTAGTAAATTTCATTGTGAAATATGCACAAATTGCCTTTTGTCATAGCAGCAAGGCTGGCTAATTTACCATGGACTTTGAAAGCAGGATAAATACACTGAAGAAAAATATTTCAGAAAATGGTAGAATAAATTATAAATTTAGTACAGGAATGAACTTTTATTATATACATATATTAAACTACAATTGCTGAAAAGATATTATTTTATTTACAGATTTATTTGGAATGAATAAATATAATTTAGTCTATATTGGAACAATATTAATATAAAAACTTTTTCTTAGCTGCATCATAACTTAACTGACTTTTACCCTATCAAATTAATATTTAATTTATATGACTAATATTTAATTTAATATATTATTTAAATTATACATAATTAAATAAAAATAATTATAATTGTACTCAATACTCTGAATCGAAGGAATAGTTTTGCTAACTATTTCTAGCTTATTTTAAAATATTTTATTATTTTATTCAAAGCAGGATATATCTGCATTAGCCGAATTTTAAACAGTTTTAGAGTATCTGCATTATCGCATAACCAACTAGATAACATCGCCATAGCTTTCTAGCTTTTATTTTAATGTAATCCAAGACTATCTGGTATCTGTATATAGCCATTGCTGTTGCATTTACTCTGCGCTTTAAGCAAGTGCAGCCCTGACCTGGGAAGCCACTTTCCAGCTTCATTTTAAACGCCATGCACTGGGGCTCTTTAATTTTGTGCGGGTCCTTTTGGCAGGCATTGCCAAGTGCTGCCTTCAAAGTTGACTTTGAACACTTTTACGTTTCGCTGATTTTTCAAGAGTTGCACTTTTTTCTGCTTTTTGCCAGCCTGCTTTGGCATACGAGTTGCCATCTTGTGTGAGTGTGTGTGTGTGTGTGATTCCTTGCCCCCATTTGAGAACGGATCCAGTTTTTTTTTTTTCCATTTCTTCTTCACTCATTAGAAAAACGTTACGAAAGTGGTAAAAAATTGCACTACGTGTTGCGAAGGGGACTTTTCTCCACGAAAATAAAAACTGCATGTAAAGTTTGCACCAAAGTAGCAAAAAAACGTGAAAAAGGAAAAGAAATATATAAAAGGCAAAGCTGAGCAAAAAGTTTATTACAAACTTCGTGGAGTGAAAAACGCGCCAAGGAGGGAAAACGAAAACTAAGTAAAAGTTTAATATTTGATTTAAAAGTTGATCAAATTTACTTTACTCCACACTCAAACTTGGCGCTCTGCGTGTTATTTGTTTTTATTGAATTTATTTGAATGTGTCTTGCAGCCTGGCAGCAGCGCCCGCTCCACTCTTATGGACGAGGGGAACGGCTTGGTTTGTGTCTCGGCTAACGCGTTGATTTTTCATTTCGTCGTGCAAATATGAAAAACAAACTGAACAGTGAATGCAACAATGGGCGCACAGCATAAAAACAGGAGCAGAGGGAGAAGCAGAAACCGAAGCAGAAGCTGAAGCTGAAGCAATAGCAAAAAGAAAAAACTGCATCACGAAAATGGGAAAATTTTCCAAATGCCTTTGTTTGTTTGCGCTGAAATGGAAAACGCGGCCAACTGCAGCAGCAGGAAAATCATTCAGCATTGTTTATAAGCTCGGCTAAAGGCTATGCAAGAGAGCATACTAATTTGGATATGAAGCATGCCCGAGCAGTAGGCGTCACGAAACATAAAAGCAAAGTTCAGACCTCAGACAGTTGATTGCTAAGCAAAGATGAAATTGGATCGCAAGAGAAAACTGCGTAATTGAATTGCTAGAGAATGTTTTTATAAGATAACTTACTTTATAAATGAAGTTCTATATAAATCTGTTGCATTACTTTTAATTTAAATTATTATACGAGTATTTGAAGAAATTCTTTATATTCTTCAAATTTAGAATATAAAGAATTTCTTCTTGTTGGCAAAATTTAATTCTATTTTGGTTTTCTGTTTAAATAAATAATAAATTAATATAAATAATAATAGCTTATAACAAAAATTTATATTTTCTAGAAATAGTTCAGATTGCCTTTAAATTGTTTTTTCCTTTAGTTGTTTTAGCCAAGCTAATGTATAGAGCATTAGCTTAGTCTTCATATAAATACAAAAAAACGTGAACCTTTGCTTACTTTTCACGCTGAAATTTCAGCTGATATTTTCGCTAGCCAAAAAACCCCGTAGATACTTGTAAATATTCATAGAGCCTCGGGAATTATATTTGCCACACACACACCCACACACCCGCACACACATGCACTTTGACAGACCCACACAGATCACATGCTGCTCCAGCGCGATGAAATTTGAACAAAAACATTTCGCATGCTACCGACTAATTTTGGCTGCAAAATTCCTCCGCAGCTATTGCCAAATTGAGTTTGCGCTTGGAGTGGCTGCCGCTGAGCCCCATTACCAGAGGCCCCCACCCCCTTGCTAAAATGCAGTTCAGTGCAGTGGAGCTAACTCAATTTGGCGCCCATGTCACATACGTCAACGCGTGCCACGCCCACAAAGTGGGTCGCACTGCCAATTTGTCAGGATTTGCTGCAGCACGTGCCACATCGCACGTTTAGCTTAGCTTATCATTTTCTCAAAGCGCGACTCTGCTATTCTCTCTCTCTCTCTCTCTCTCTCTCTGTCACTCTCTCTCTGTCTGTCTCTGTCTTTCTCGCTGTCTCTCTCGGTCTGAGTTGTTTTCTTAGACCTCGGCTATTTAATATGCAAAACGTCAGTCGCCGAAAAAACTGACAAAGTTGAAATAAATTTTTATTCCATGGACTCTGTTTGCACTCCTAAATCGGCAATGAACTTGCCGCAGAGCCAAAAAGGAAAAGCGCCTAGAGAACAGGGCGAATGAGTGGCTAACAGGATATCCTGTTAAGAGCTGAATCTATAACTAGGTGCATTTGTTTATCGTGGGTAAAGATTACTATTAATAAAATTGATCCATTTTGAGACATATTTTAAAGCACAAATCAGAGAGCTACACAAGTATCAAATATATTACAGCAACAGTGTTTCCATATTCTACGGATTCTAAAAGAGAACGTCCTTCGAATATGGGACACCTCATAGGTTTGTTAGATAGACTCGCCGAATATGAACAGCCCTGTATATTCAAAAGAGACAGCGTTGCTTTTAAGGAGCTGGTTTACGTTTATTTCTCCAACTTGACGATCTTTACTTATTAGCAAACTTAACTCAACTACAATATACCCTGCTCTGAAAATATCGTCCCTCTGCTGAGTATAAAAATATGCCAAGGCAGCAGTCGCAGTCCTTCCGTCCGTATTTGTGCTCCTTCTAACTAGGCTCGAGGCTCAGGGCTATAAGAGACAAGAGAGAATCAAATACATATCTATAATATATATACACTACATATATATATAGTCTAGTTTTGTGCGCTGTCTGTTCGACTGCTTTAAAGGCCGCTCACGTAGCAGACGAAAGAAAAACGCAACGCAATTGCAGACGAGCCGAGAAAGAAAAGCCGAAAAAAGGAGAAATTTTCGCGTCTGAACGTTAATTTAAAAACGATGCACAGCATCTGGCAAAGTTTTTAATTTTAATTTCATAAATGCAATGAAGTGCAGCTGCGCTCGAATCCGCAGATCCGCAATCCACAGCCAAATCGAATCAGCGAGAAGGAGGTGGCGTATGCTTAGTGCGCCGGAAATCATTTACGGACGTAACGTCTAAACGAATTTCCAAACGCTCTGCACAAAGTTTGTCATACGCCGCGTGGTACAAGCGGGCCAAAACGACGAATAAAAATATATGTGGCCACGACTGTGTCAGTGCTGTGTATTTAGCGTGGTTTCAGCCAAGTTTAGCCATATATTCAAATTGAAAATGTGCAAATTGCTTTCCGGGGTTTATCGACTCACAGTTGACATTTTCCTCTACTTCTTTAATAGCTAAAATCTAGCTTTATTTCTCTATCTCAAAGAGTGCCAACGCTGTTTTAACCAGTCAGTCAGTCAGTCATTCAGTCCGCTAGGCAGTTGCACGGCTCGAGTTGACGAATGCACGAAAAACCACGTAATGACACACACAACCAAATGTGTGGCTGCCTTTCACATACACACACCCACACACATACAATGCGAACATATTTTCACGTTCGGATCGCATTTACATGAATCCGCCTGAAAAACAATTAACGCATATTCCACAAAAAAAGAGTGACTCATGCGATGTTAGCTGAAAACTCAAGCGATAGAGTTTCCCACGTGCACGAATGCCTGGAAATTTGTACCTCGCATAAAATGCGGTGGTTGAAGGTGTGTTTGGGGCCAAAAGTGCAGGGGTTAAACGTGGGCGTTTCAAGTCAAAGGTTAAGGCAAAGGCAATTGCAAACAGCACAAAAAATGAGCCGAAAGTGAGACAGGACAGACCGTTTGGAGCGCAGTTAATGAAAAACCTTAATGAAGTCAGCAAATGATATCATGCGAATAAGATGTGTGTCATGAGCTATCAGAATGTGAATGGAGATAGCTCTGATAAATAAAAATTACTTTAATCTTAATGCGAAAAGCTCTCAAAACTCATTATAACTTTAAACCTTTTTCTAGGTATTGATATCTTCAAAGTTGATCATTTTTATAGAGTGGACTCCATTTAAACTCATTTAATATTTCAAAATTGTTTATTTTTATCACCCTTTTTTTAAATTTAAAAAATTAATTAATTTGTAGTATTATTAATGACTATGAAAAGAATCCAAAACGGATTCTCATGCCATCCATTAGTTGACTATTAACCAAAATGTTTTCTTGAGTCTTTTCTTTAAGCATACAAAGCTTTGATAAAACAGAAATTTTTTAGATACGTCACTTGTGCCTTTTTTATTCATTTAAGTCTAATTAGGGAAGGGTAAAATTCTATTTTTAATTTCCTAAAATATTTTATATATTACACCATATGAACTATATAATTTTTCTGACTTACCATTTGCTGTTGATTCTTTGGTTTCTTGACTAGATCGGGCACCTTGAAGCTGGTTACGGCCTCGATGACCTCGGCGAGGAGCAGGCCATCCCGACAGTCGGCCGAAAGATCTGTGACCTTTCGCTTCGACTTGGCACGTTCCAGATAGTAGTTCGCCCAGTCCGTGTAGATCTGCAATCGAGTTAAAGAGAAGTTGAAGGCATTAAAAACTGTTTTCCAACGATTGAACGACATTCTACATAGCCATTGGCTGCTGCAATTAAGAATTTCTGCAATACTTTTCGCCAGCTGTTCGTGTTGCACAAGCTGCAGCCAGTGCAAGGCCTTCACTGGGCCGCACTGCACTCCTCGGTCTGGGCTATCAGGAAATCATTAGCAGCAGAAATCTCCCAGCCAGACAACATATGCCCAGAATACAAACAGTTTTGACAGCCTGCAGTTGGCTATGCAAACAAATTAAACTCCGGCCATTTAGTGGCCGAAAATATCCTTCGAAGCGAAAGTCGTTAAGGAAATCTGTGCGACAGATTTTTGCAAACCATCTGTCTGTGTATGAGTGTGTATATGCATGGTTATATTTGTATGAGTGTATGTATATTATTCAGTTCTATAGTGTAATTATAACGACAAGAGTTTTGTGATTTGATAGGAGAGTGAGTGTGTGCTTAAAAGGATATGTTACGATACTTCAGCTCATGCAAGACATGATATTTGGTTGAATATGAAATAACAATATACATATATCCTATAGTAAATGACTGATTTAAGGTATATTGGCACCTTAGGGAAACTTTAGAACTTGAGAATACACTCATTGTTTAGCATAAACTTGCTCGATATACATAGTCAGATCTGATAGGTGAGATGTATGTAATGTTGGATAAACATGCATAAATCATTGATATTTTTGATATATTTCAAATAAGGTAAGAGTACTTAATTAGTTTTATAGGCACAGAAGATATCATTTTTAAAAGAAAGGTATAAACTGAACTAATTCTCTTTTAATAATTTCACAGTACCGATAAAGAAACGAGCTCACCAGAGATTTTTGTATAAATATATACAACGATGATCTTAATAAAATAAATCAATAAGCTAAAAAGTATATTACTTTTTCGATAAAATCACAACTTATCCTTAGAAAAAGCCGTTTATTTTGAACCAGAAAAAAAATTGAGAATTATCAAAATCCGTCGATTCGTGGTACACAGTATCAACTAGTCTCTTTATTATTATCTTCTAGTCCTCCTACAAGTTTTTCTATTTATTTCTCTATCGTTTCAAGACAAGAGGTCTAACACCTGCCAGACCCCTAAGACGACTTAAACGGCAGGGCTTTGCCAAAACAATGGGTGTACAATAAATATTATTATTATTATTTTTCTTTTTTCTCAGTCCTCACAAATTGAGTGAGGTTTGGCCTTAATTTTATGTGTTGTTAAAGTACTATATGTGATTGTACAGTTTCTACACTTAATAAACCAAAAATAAAATAAAAATCGTTTCAAGTTGAATAACTTCATTTCAAAAATAACCCAATATTAAATTTGAGCATAAATACTTAGAATATATTTTGTTCTTTATACTCGTAATATATTTTGTTCATTATATCCCTAAATTCCTTAGATATATGTATATTAATGTACCCATGATTTAATGTGTACTGCGAGCAAGCTGAATTAAATTATTATTGTTTTTGTTCTGCCACAAAGTAGGAAAGTTGGTTCAGTTACTTTTTTCCCGACATTGCATTTGGGGTCTGTCGCACTGTTGCTCCTGGGCAAAGCCTTTGCCGCTTGTGCACGTCGTTAGCCGCATCCTTGCGTAGTTTTTATTATAGCTCATCCTGCTAATTCTGTAGCATTGCCATTTTCCTTTAGCCAGCTTCCAGCTCTGCTCTCCATATGCATGCGACACATTTTATGTGCGCCTTGCTTGGCAATAAAAATAGCTGGCATTGTACTTTGCGTTTGGCCCGTCTGTTTGTCTATCTTTTCCTTCTTTCGTGCTGTACGACTCGACGTCCGTTTGTCCGTTCGTCTAGCTCTCTATTTTGCGCCCAAGCTACGAGTGAGCTTTACAGTTGTTACGGAGGCGGGAGCATATACTACTTAACAAAGGCCTGGCCTAGACTTTGGCTTATGCATTTCTTCCTCTCTGTGTGAGCAGTTGTTGCCTGCAAAGGTTTTAGGCCCGGGCTTGGACTTTGGATTTGGCTTTGACTTTGGACAAAATAAAGTGAAAACATGCCCCTGCAAAATAACTGAGCAAATGCAATCGCACTGGCAATGTCAGTGGCAATGGCAATGACAATGCGAGCTGTAACTGTCGTTGTCAGTGGCATTGGCTATGGTTGGCTGTTGCTGTTTCTATTTCTACGTCTGTGTCTGTTTCTGTTTCTGTTTCTGGTTTCTGGTTTTAACAACTGGCAAAGAGCCGGCTAAGCCAATGCCGCAAATATGCTGCCTGGGGTCTAACCGAATAAATGAAAGTTCACCCACAACAAATACGGCAAAGCAATCGACTGCTTGTGTGCTCGACTCGTTCCCTTTCCCCTTCCCCTTCCCCTTCACGTTCTGGTCCAGCTTTGTTTTTCCTTCTGTCTCGACAGTAGCCAAACAACAATAAACTGTGCAGTTGTCTTGTCCTCATAGAGCTAGCATTCAGCTGCCCAGACATATGTGTGTATGTGTGGCCAATATACCCCCACCTCTCTCTCCCACTCTATGCATTTGCCTCTATCACACACTTTATGACAGCCAATATCAAAGGCAAGATGTAAATAAAATTCAGTTAGTGCTGCAAAGCGTAAAGTGCATGCCGTGTAACAGTGCTAAACAATTTCCATTGACTAATCAATTTTACAGCTATTAATTTGCTCTCTTCTTCATCTTCTCCTCCATCTCTTTGTCATACAAACCTTAGCATAGTCGCTCGTCAATATGCCGTTGATGTTATCGCAGGAGCCCTGGTAACTAACGCACCGGCCCAACATCCTTTTTCCAGGACGCCAATGAAATGCAACTCGCGAATTTGCAATTAGATGAGTAAATTTTAAAGTTTTTTGTTCCTTTTCAATTGATTCACATTTTCATTTTCATTTTTTCCAATGTACATTTGCTTTCAATGAATTCATTCATTCATCTAGATTTTTCTTGTATTTTTTAAGTGTGTAGATTTTAACTAATTAAAATTATAGTTCATTTTATATATACATGATATGTATATTATTATATTCATTTATTTTCATATATTTTTATAAAGCTTTTTATTCAAATACAAAAAGTCTACGTTTATATTTATTAATTTTATTTATTTCACTCCTTGTTACGTTACAAATTAATGTGAATAGTAATATTTTCGCTTATTTAATTTATATATGATTCAATCTATTATTATAATAATTAGTTAATCAATTATATTTTGTGTTTTTTTTTTTTTTTTTTTTTTTTTGTAAATCTACTGTTTTTGTTTTTTTTTTTCTTTCAAATTTTATTTATATCATCTTTTTCATTATATTTTGATTATTATGCTTTATTTTTCCTGAATATATACAATATATACAATTTATGGGTTTTGCTTAGAATTACGTTTAATATTTATTTAATTATAAACTAATGTATTGTTGTTATTTAGGTGATGTAAACGTATTTTTAGTTAAATAAATTAATTATTATATACGAATTCTATGGAAAAGAATTTACTTTTAATCAGATCTAAGCAAATTCATATCTATTTTGCCTTATGCTTCTATATAAGAAAAGGATTGAGAACAGGAATGAGCACTTCATTCTATATGCAATAGAATGAAAGTATTTCCGGGCATGGCCCATTTCTTTTCTTATATGTATGTTTAGCATCATTTTTATTATAATACTTTCGCAGCTTTTGGCATTTTTTAGCAGCCCATTAGACAGCAATTGCTGCCCCTTAACCATCCACACTCTGGCACACACAGTTATCACATATTATGCACCTTTGTTGCTCTCATATTTATGAGGCCCTGGGCGCTTTTTAAGCCCGCAACAACAGCTACAGCTTCATAAATATAAAATTAAAGCGCCGGCAAGTATGTAACATTTTTCGCTGGTTTTTGTATATTTCTTTGCCAACACCATTAAAATGTCAATTATGATAAAGTTTTATTGAAACACCGCAGCACATTACGGCTTATCAGCGGGGCCAGGCGGAGCCCCTCCCGGAAAGTATGCAATAATAATAATAAACATTAAGCGGCAGGCGGTGCTGCTTTTTACCCTTTTCAACGCCAAGCACAGCTCCGGCCGGAACGTAGCCGGCCCATTTCGTGTTGTGTGTTTCGGAGGCGTTCAGCATTCGCACGCCCACTTTTCGGGCGAGAACTAATTGAAAATGAAAGTGAAAGCTTGAGGAGTCCAATACAACAGGTTGCGAGACCCAGCGCCCACTTCTCTCGCACTCCCTGTCCGTGGATAATTGGCGTCGACACCCTTGTCAGCAAACAGTCCGGAGCAGATTTTTGGATACATAGCAAAATTTGTTGGCCTGCTGAGCTCTAGTTTTGTTGGCCAACCTTCTGCGCGCACTCAAAAGGGGTTGACAAATCGTGTTGGAAATCAATTTGGTTGTCTCTAGTAGGCAAAAAGGTCAAATGCCATTTGCTAAATGAAAAAGCGCTTGACAAACAAAACTCTACGAACTCAGCCACGCCCACCAACCCACTATCTAACACACACCGCCCACCGCCCACCGCCCCACGTTTTGCTCTTATCTTGCCCGAACTCTGGCTCCGTCTGGGGGTTTTTCTTTCTTTGGCGTTCGCCCGCCCGAAATGTCAGTGAAATGTCAAAATAAAAGTAATGCTGATAAAAATTTTATAGCTTGTCAGAAATGCTAACGAAAAGAGAAGTTGGAAGACGGGGGAGGGACAAAGTGCCTGCAGGGGCGTTTGTTTCTCATCTGAGTTCCCTATCAACTGTCGCGACTTGGGTACTTTAGTTTATTGGAATTTGCATGAGACAGCTCTCGAAAGGTGGCAAAGTAACGCGAGTTCTTAACACAACAAAATTTATGTTAAATCGAACGACAGCCAGCAGTTAAAATAAAAAAGGAAATGTCGATATTTATATAGATATGTATGGATGTATAGGTGTACATGTATGTGTGTTTTATCTCCTGGTTTCCAGTTA